AATAAGAATATAGATTATAAACAGTCTGCTTATTTATTGCCCAAATAAGCGACTGTCAGCATTTCAGACTTTGTTCGAAGCAGTTAAATAAATTGTCTTAAAAATTAATTGTAGGTTTATTTTAATGGCGGAGACCTTTAATATCAGAGTTCACAGTTTTTATGAAGTTAGGTCTTTTATTGTCCGTCAAACTGTGTAATGTAAATGTAATATAAGTGAAGGATCTTCCATTACTATGAATGTTTCAGGAAGGAAGTTTGTATTCGTTAAATAGAAAGTTCAAGAAACTTGAAATGCGACGTTATTTCCACGACACCATTTTCATCTGAAAGTTTTCTTTAACACAAAGGAACTCTAAATTGTGTTTGTATGCAGAGGAGCATAAATATAATGAGCGAGAGTCTCTTGCAAAAGCATTGGTGACGCGTTCGCTGTTCTTTGCTTATTCAAGAACTAATTCTAACTTCGATCGTTACAAAGCGACAAATAGAATGTTTGTGAATGATAAATTAAGAAGGACGTGGAAGAAAATAGTCATGGCATATTTAACGTTTTATCGCCCTGATAATGGAGGTAGCAAGGATCTCTCAAACGTCGGTAAAATTCTACCGTACTACACGGCGCAACAACCCAGAAGATAGTCATCTTCAGACTCACCGCCGTGAAAACCTCAAATCCTACACCGTTTTCAGTGTTCTGATACTCCTCAGGTTTAGAGGGGGCGCAGGATGTGTTAGGTTTGGATAGTAAGGTTTTAAAAATAAACTGTTAGGGTTAATTTGGTATCAGGTAGTCCAGGTAACTCTGAATTTGATCTTATGACTTTTCTTTACGGAGATGTGGTACGCGCATGTCGGTTGAAGAAGGACAGTTTGTTAATGATGACACACAAAATTAAAAGTTACTGCAGATTTCACAAATGCGACTACGTTGTTGAATTAGATAGCGTAATTATTGTTTAACTAGAAATGTGAAGTTAATGCAGAAGTAATGCTTAATTAGTACTGGTAGTTAGTATAAAGTTAATTCTGAAGCAGTGCTGTATTTTCAGCTAAATTACTTTAAGAGACTAAAACAATGAATTTTGAATCAGAAGCTGTAGACGAGTACGTTCACACTCTCCGAAGTTTAAATCCGATGTGTATTATGCTCTCAGTAACACACAAGGAAGATGAAGGCAGCAAGGACTTCTGAAACGTCGGTCAACTTCTACCAGACTAAATGCTGCAACAACCCAGAAGACAGCCATCTTTATGTCTAGCCATCTTGTATAATTTGATCATTCCGATAATATTTGGTGACGAGTACAAATTATGACGTTCCTCACTGTGTAATTTTTTCCTTACTCCACTTTCCGTAAATCAAAATTTTCCCCCGCGAACTTTGTTATCAAACACTCCCAATGTACGGTCTCCATTCACGGCCACAGACCAAGTCTGTCGCACGTATAAAACTGGTAAATTCATAATTCTGCATATTTTAATCTCTAGACTTTGAGATGGAATGTAAGGAGACAGCCATCTTCAGACTCACCGCCGTGAAAACCTCAAATCCTACAAGGTCATAATAGTAGCGTCGTTCAAAACTTTTAATTTGTAGGAATCTTCCCTTTGACTTATTTATTCGTCCTTCGAATTAAGTGAATTTTCCGCCAGAAAACAACTTCAAACTCATTGGCTGGCCACTAAAGTACGACCTGATATGGTTGCAGTAAAATACCGCTGTGGCAACAAAAGTTTTTTTAAAAGTCCTATTGTCCGAAGAACGTCGAGACGCCTCGTGCGATTCCTACCTGTCGACATTTCTTCGACAGATCTTGTATCCAAAATAGAAAAATATATGGCTTCTAGTATAAAATATATTATAAATTTTTATTAAGAACGTTGATGGTCACAATAAAACCCTATCTTAAGCTTATCCTTTTGTACATAAACCGGAATAAGTGTCTAATTTCAGGCTTATGTTAATTTCGGTGTCGTCTCTCTGAAATCGAACTCAGAACTGAGAAGCACAAACCGATGCTCCAGCATTCGCTTGTAGCCGCTCAAGAAGAAACCACAGCTTGTCTCCGGACCGAGTTTTACACAAAGAATGTGCCGAACATGAATGTGGCTGCTTTGCTTTTTTAAGACAGCCGTAATTTAAATTTTCGTCGTTTGAAATTATTGGCTTCCTCGTTTTTTTAAAGACGTTATCAATATTACAATTTGACTTATATGAAACACAACTCATGCTTTTATGTTTTCACTCCGGTTAATTAGACGCGATCCTAGCTCAAAACTTTCAAATTATTATTATTCTGTAATGACATGTATTGGCAGAATGGAAGTATTGATAAGAAAGAAGTAAATGAAAGGAATAGGTGTTTTCGGAATGTTGATAAGACGGATAAATGAAAAAAAAAATAGGAGAGAGAAGATGTAAGACGTAAAGGTACACTTCATTATCCGCTGATTTTTAATGGGTTTTTGCACTAGTAAAATTTTGTCTTAAATATGTCTACGTACATTGTGTGCACTGTATAAAAAGTAAGTTCTGAAATAAGAAACGCTAATAAAAAGGAGATAATGTGTGAGATTTGAGGATTAGAGTCCTCTGTGTTGTAAAACCGTGCGGACGTCTAGGTAGAAGCCACCGTTTCGTATAAACATACTAGCTCCATCTTGTAGGCTGTATGTTCTTCGGAAACGTAGGTATCGATATACAGGTCGAAAAGGTGTTGTCGCGCAGAAGACCAATATCGAAAGTTAAAGATACTGTTTCCATGAAAAACGAAAAATTGTGAGCATTTCAAACCCTTACATTTGTACAAAGTGTTCCACGAAACGTTTGAGAAACTACGTGTTGTTATTCATTGGCTTGTATTGAGTGAAGGAAGTAATATGAGTATAGGTCGGGTCTGAAGAATTTCATAGTATCTGATTAGTCTGTTCTCACTGTCGCTCTGTCCTTGTGTCCACCAACATCCTTTCGGAGCGCTTGTACGTATGTCCTATCAACTGCCAACTAATTGGACCATTCGTTCTTGTGTGACGTTAACAGCAAACTACTCCCTGTACTCTATACAGGTAAAATTACCAATTCTTTTGGAAGACGTTCCTTTGCAGACAAAATTAAAAGTATGGCCGCACCACAATAACGTTTCACTTCATTTTGGTATAGATGTAACACGAAACTTGAATCGGTTTTATTAAAATCGTTGGATTAGTCGTGGCGGTCCTTATGCGTTAAGAGCGCGTTCGCCGAACGTGTTCCTCCATCTCGATAAATCGTAGTCACGAGATGAACTCTTACGGTTCAGTATGAAAGATTGCAACTCTTATGTGGAACAATTATGAAACTATACGGAAACAAACACCTGCAGTTTTAAAGCGAACTTGCTTGTGCATAACGCTGGATGTAATTTGAAGCATCCAGCGGCTGAAGTACTTACGTTATGTTACAACATGCGCTAAACTTCAATAGAATACAATTCTTATACAGCTTATTCATTTCTTAATTAAAATAAATTAAATTAATCTGCCTTTCCATGTGTCACAAACACATAATGGTTGAGGTTTCGAACCATGTAGATAGTATTTTTATTGAAATAAGCCAATGCATAACCACCCTAAGTTTAGTAAACTTTTCGTTGGGCAGTCTCAATACTGACGATCGAAATTATGGTTGAATGTGTGTTATAATTTCAGAGTGCGCGAAATGGTTATACCACTTGAAATAAGTAGACTGGAAATAGTTTTTAAAATGTATCTTAGATAAAGTCGATTTAAAGGTTGTGTTCTGGAGGGCCAGTCAGTGGAGGGCCCTTACGAAAGTAGCAATGTGCCTATGTGTTTTGTAAATGCGCGGAATTTATTGAGTTGCTGAGGAAAGATTTTCCTCTCAAAAATGCCTTTGTTGGATGTAATTAGGCATAATTATGGTTTCAAAATATCAGTACACGAATATTGTATTTGGCCATATGGAGAAGTTATTCCAAAATATCCAGATTGTGCTGGAAGAAATAACATAGACTCTGATACTACTTCAAATCTGAAAATAGTGGAAGACATATGGAAGCTTGATGTAAATGTTTTAAAATTGTCGCACGTAAAAGAACGTACAAGGTATAAAAAATTCAAAATACCTACTTCATACGTCATTAATTTTCCTCCTTTCAAATCCGCACATTTACGGCTTCTGACCAAACACTTCATTTATGACATGTTTCTGATGTGGTTTGTGTTTTCAGTGCGGATGTGTGTCTGACTGGCTCCACGTAACAAACTTTAGTTTCTGTTTATCTTGAAAGCAACTCGGTAATTCGCGCTATCATCATGTCGGCAGTTGTGAACACGCAAAACTACGGTCACAATAAAACGATTAAGGTTATAATTTGTCGTCGTATCAGATTTCACATGCAAACTCTCGTTAGTTATTGCCACAAAGAACAAACCCAGTTCGACGTGGCAGTAACGATGCACACTTGCACCGCGCTGTACCGGGGTTGAATCTCCGCCGGATTACAGCGTGCTGTGTTCTGACATTTCTCTCTGACTTCATGCTTTCTCTCCGTGCTAATAACACATGTTACAATTAAATGGGCCTTAGCCGGCTTATCCCAAACCCTTACGTATTTACAATCTACGATATTCTTCTGTTTCTTTCGACGTCGCATACATGCTGTAGCTGAAACAGCGTCATTAAATAATACACATCAGTTCTTAAGTAGCATACATAAAGATTATATCAGAAGGGTGATCAGTGCGCCAAAAATTTGAACTGCCCTACTTCAGCTTGGTTGCTGTGTGTGCCCATAACAACAGGATATTATGGGTTGAAGGTCGCGCGAGTTGTCGTGGCACCTAAATGCGCGATGTGTAAGCCGAGAGAGGGGAGTTCGGTAGTAGAGGTGGTCGCACAGCCTCAACTGCGGTGACGCACCGAACTAAACACAGCTAGAACTACAAACCAACTGAAGCTGACTCCCCTCTAGCGCGTACTTTGGACGGGTCCATCTCATACGACCAAAATCAGTCCTTTGCGCATGTGATAGCACTTCTCGCGCGACCTATGCTGCAAGGTGTCGTGTTGTTTCAACCCACTTTATTTGCTGTCGATTAATCTGTGTATCGTGGAATTATCTCGTAGTCTCACTAAAGAGAACTATAATACTCATTGAAACGTTTATTGCAATCATTCAGTCCCGTAGCCAGTGCTCAATTGTACCTAGATAATTCTCGAGAAAACTGACATGTTGCAATGATTTATGGAACGTTGCCCCATGAGCTGGTTTGTTCGCATGCAGTGCCAGCGGTGGGAGGGTGTTGACATATCACTTACATGCAGACTGAAGAGAACACGAGAGACAAGTCCACGCTAGACCACAGCAGGCCACATGGTGCAATATTAGATTTAGCTGACTCGAAGATTGTTTGGAACGATCAAAGTGAATATATGAGGTTGTGACTTTGGAAGTTTAGGATAGTATGTTTGAAAGGGCGGCCTCTGATCCACAAGGTGTCGAATGCGTAACTATATCCAGAAAATCGCCCCAGTTATTTTTTTCTCGGTTGTTTTTGTTGATTCTTTAAACAACCTGGGGTAGAAGCAGTGTAGTTTGGTTCGTAAGTCGAATTGCTCTTTTTGAATCGGGTGGAGCTCATTCACTTCTCGAACAGCCCTAGTGAGTTGTATTTTGTTTAAGAGCGTGTCAACAATGCCAAATAAACTTCCGTGTCTTTAGGATGAATTCAACTTGCACATTGCCGATTTCACGCGAGTGTATTTCCATGCTGGTGGTAAGTACTGCCTATGAGGGACTGTTTTAAAAATGTTTGTGGGAAATGTTATCATGCTGTTGTAGATGGAATTAATCTTAATAATATTTCAACATCAATATTTTCCTCATGTAAAACACAACACGTAACCATTACAAGAATCAACTGGCCAATACCTCGAGAATCATTTGAAATCGATAAATACACAATCTTCAGTTCTCAATGTTAATCAAAATATTCGTATGATATTAAAATGCCTCAAATCTTACACGTATTAATGGAATTTGTACTGCATGTACAGGCTAACTTTCCTGTGTGCTAGATACATTTTGAGTATCTTAATAGTTTTAGATCTAAGCTTCCCGTTCAGTGAGCTCTGTAACGCATCGATGCAGACCAAAATATTCACCTCACACTTCAAAGTTTTACTTCAACTTATTTTTATAATCTGTAGAGAGTTCAAACAGTATTAGGGCGGTCACCGAGGATAGGAGTAGTGACGTGTAGCATATTTTCATTGGACAATCTGAAAGAAAGGGCCCATTTGGAGCACGAAGAGGAAAATTGGGTGATAAGATTAAAACATCCCATAATGGAACAGGTTGTGAAGGTGTGGATTGAAATCTGCTAGTTCAGGAAACGTAGTAATGATTCCCGGGTTCTGAAAAAGATTTGAAATTTTTTGATTGACTGATTTGAAGGACTTTGCTCGAGGCAATTGGTTTATACTTTAGTGCAGATCTTCATAATAAATAGGCCTATAAGTCAACATTCGTTAAGAGCGTTTCAAGATGACTGATGTGAATAGATAAGTATTCTTATTGACAGATATTCAACCTTAAATCAAGCTTTTATTTTACATTCAGCGTTGGAGAATGGGTAATCTGTAAGTGTGAGGTTAGATATTGCTCTCATTTATTGCGACTCCTATAATTTATAGTCTTTAATATCCTTGGATTAATGCAACTACGTACAGCATGCATGTAATCGTTTTACTGGAATCTGAAATTATGGGTTTGCCATTATTTGTATATGTCAGCAGTGTAGTATCACTGCACAACATTGTCCTTTGAGTAGGATGTTTTAACTTTTATTTAAACCAAAAGTCTGGATTGGTGATGGAAGGGAAACCTATTAAGTTAGCTTATTGTAAGATGTTTCAAAGTATTTTATAAATATTACAAAACATTGGTAAACATCGACCAGACTACACAGTGCAACAACCCAGACGACAGAACTCTTCATACTCATCGCCCTGATGATGGAGGCAGTATGACCTCTGAAACGTAGGTTAACATCTATTTTATACCAGACTACACAGCGCAACAACCCAGAAGACAGAAATCTTCATCGCCCTGATGAAGTTTTAATAATTTTTATTTTGTTACAGGTAAGAAAACCACTGACAGTAATCTAAGAAGGCTGTGTTATGAAAATGAAGTGAAGTGGCCGTTGAAGGTAAGTTACGACGAGATATTAATTATAATCTGTCTTAGTATAAGATCTCTGATGCTATAAAGAATCTGACTTTATTGCCCAATATACTTAGGTTTTAAAGTGTGTGTGGGGATGAAACAATTTACGTTGTCTATGAACTACGAGGTAATGCGCCAGTTGCCCACTCTGACCGAACGATGTTTTATCCAGCACTCTGAGTGATTTTGTATTTAGTGAGCACAACGCTAGGATGAGATGTGTTAGAGAGCAATGCAGGCTGTGAGTTCGTTGTTTATCCGGGGCCTTGTGAAGAGGTACTAACATAGCGTAAAGCATATATCAGGTGACACTACGTTTGAGTCGAAATTTAACGTGTTTCATCATAATGTAGACTACAACGAGTACTATCCACTATGTATGTCTAATTACAGAAACCATAAAAGAGTTAGCCTCGTAAAAGCAGAGTGTGTTAATATTGTTACCATGTTGCTAGTATTAGGCTATTAGGTGGACACCGATATATTGCTCGCCATGGGTGTGGACAGAAGTGGCCACCTAGAGGCCCGGACATAAACCCTGCGACGTCTTCCTTTGGGAGTAACTTGAGTAAAGACTGTTTCCAGATAAAAGCATTGTCAGTAATGTAACTCAGGGCGTTGATTGTCAAGATGTGTGGTGAACTACGGAGGTTATGCACCTATATGCCGCCTAGTGATAACGAACATAGACGTTCGTACTTCGGAAATTGCACGTGATCCTTAAAGGATAAATTTTAATGAACTGTGTATATATATATACACACGAGCTTGTCTGAATATTAACCTTTCTTTAAAGTTTCAATCGTGTATCATTGCTTGCGCTATCGTGTGAGATATATCGATCACAGTTTACTTTACTGAATTCTTAGACTTTTAAGTCATTCTTGGCATTTCGGTATGTAATTAGAGTTCCAGAACAGCAGAGTGACTAGACAGAAAGAAAAATAACTGAAATGAAGGGATGTAATTGAATCTGAGTTTCGTTTGGAATATTAATATTATCAGCAGTGGTTTATTGTTGAAGTTTTCGGGACTACGAGGTTCTACTTATTAAAACTGAGGAATTAAGTAATCTGGCAGATCACGCACAATACGAGTGGCGTTTGATCGTTTATCATTCCAGAGGTAAAATTTCCCTTTTTGCTTAAACACTGCGACAGTAACGTAGGTCTGTGCATGTGGAGGTAAGCCTTTACACATTCGAAATCTCGACCTCACATCAGTTTCAGTTCGACGTTCCAGCTACTTTACCCCAAGGTATTAATTAAGGGAGAGTGCGTGAATCGGCCCTAATCTTATGTAAGAGAAAATTCCTAGCCCTTGCCTCAAATCAAACTTATAGCCACTGGCCTGTTCCGGTTTCTTACCTAAAATTTATTGCATTTCTGTCAAACCCAGTACACATTTGTACCTTATTCTGCGCAAACGAAAGGACAATAATTAATGCAAACTAGTGCACAACAAGATGGGATACTGATTAGTAATAAAATACGACTGAATAAGTAGAATTTGATGTTTTCATGGCCTTGAGTCTGAAGATGACTGTCTAAAAGTTAGCGTGATGTTCAATACTTAATTATTCATTTAGCTTTTATACACATTCTCATGTTAGTTTTTACTGTTCACACTTTGGAAAGACTGCTATCTAGGTCATGCGAAGTGGTGGCAGTGTGTTCTTTTAGAACAGTGTTGCATCGGGACTCACAGTTCACATAAACCTAAATACAGTTGCTCTAACTTAATATTTTTATATTAGTGGTGTTTCAAATTGTATTTCCCAGAGGAAAAAGCTGCTCTATTTGTGACAGTTAATCCTTTCATACAGAAGTAATCATAAGGAAGAATGTTTTCGAAAGTTATGGCTTTCTGTATAATAAAATTACGGAGAGACGTGAAAGAAGTTTTTGTTTTTAGTTGCTTGCTACTTTTCATCTTCTCCATGTTCTCGGTCGCCTTCCCTTTGCTTCACACTTTATCTTGCTTTGTGCACATTCTATTCTCAGAAACCAATACCAACGAACAAGATCTGGACAGACAAAGAATGTCTGTTTTTTCTTTAAATTTTTTATTTTGTGTGTCCAGGCTACAAGAAATCATAAATTAATAGCGAACTCATTTGATCAATTAATACGATGGCTGCGCTCTGTAATACGTGCATGAGCTTGGACCGCTCTAAGGCTGAGATCATGGTATTTAATATAAATCGAGCAACTAAAATGTGCCTTATATCCTATCTTCGCCAATCATCCCCAGCGGTACCTTTGCTTAGGAATTTGTGACTAAAAGTCTATGCATTTCTCACCTTCCCAATACACGCTTCATGCTCGGCCAGTTTTAGCTTTCTTGGTTTGGTTAACTTATTATTACTTGGCAGTAATTATGAATTACGAAATTCTCATTGTAATTGTCTCCATCATTCTGTTACATCTCCCGTCGTACTGTTTCAACGTGGCAATATATTTCAAATTTAAATTTGTATCGTGTTTATGATATCAGACTAGAACTACGAGTATTTGTCAAGTATCTTCAGTTTTGATATAAGCTTGCCAAATTCTTCTGAGTCCTATAATAACCTCAATTTAACTCCTGTTAGAAACTCCCCGTTATTTTTGGTTCTTGGTATCCTGGATTTTGATTCAGTGTGGCCATCTTTATGGTTGGCAGAGTTTCAGAAGAACGTATGACGTCCATCTTAAGAAAGTTTGGAAACTGATCGATATCTACAGAACCTTCTTATATCTTCTGCGAATCGACACCATGTTTGCTCCAGGTCATATCCTCAAGAGATTAGTTCTATTAGCGTTTGCTGTTTCTTTGACCTTAATGCCATAATGGTGAGTTATCGTGGGATGCAGTAAAGTGACAGATAATACGTACATTTATCTGGCATTTGTATCGGGACAGACGGAGGCTAAATGACAGTATGGTGGAGTAAGAAGAAACAAACTGTAGGATATGAGGTTTTGACAGCGATTGGGATGTTGAAGTTCTGAGTTTTGGTGTCTTTTAGATGTTTCTATTCTTATTCTATGGCGCAAGGGCCCGAAGTCGAGCCTTGGCCTCCTCTAATGTGGGAGGTTTCTTTGTCTTTGAAATGTGCATTTATGAATAGTGAGTGACCAGCCCACTGCCTCTGAACAATTTCTACTCAATTCTGATTTGTCTTCTAGAGTCAACTAGTAGATAATCAGGAGAGACTTGGGTGAGAAATGGCCGCTAAATTTTACTTACGAAACATCTCGTTCATGCTCGTAACGTTCTTTTACATGCCGTCAATCTACGACATGGAACCGCCGGCTTTACTTCCACTCCGAAGGAAGTTGTACTACGGATTTTCAACTGTTTCCATTCTCAGCCCTAAATATGTGTACATACTCTTTAAATGAAGTGACAAATTCTTACAGGATGACATTTTACAGATGAATTGAGGCTGCTTCACTACTGACTATAAGGGTGTTTAAAAGGAATTAGTTGGCAGGCCTGAAAGGAAAAGACCGCTGGAAAAACCTAGGCGTAGGTGGGAGGATACCATTAAGATGTTCCTTACGGGAATAGGAATCTATGAAGCAAACTGGATGCAGCTAGCTCAGGGTAGAGTCCGGTGGCGGGATTTTGTGAACATGCTGATGAACTTTCGAGCTCCATGAACGATGTGGTTATTCTTTGACAAGCCGAGTCACAATCGAATTTTAAAAGAGTATCCTATACCGTAAAGGGAGTGAGTGATGTTTTTAGATTAAGGAGCGAGAAGACCGAGGATTCTGAAGATAATGTGTCCTTTGTATAGTAGGCTAGTGTAAAATTATCAGTTTCATAAAATTATGGAAACTTGCAGTGAGATCAGTTTTCGTAAGACGAAACTAGTTTCCGAGCGCTTTGATTATTGCCATTATATGTCATCTTCACAATCACTATCCTTGTAACGGATTGAGATCTTGACCTGTCCCGGTTGCAAGAATTGTTAGTGTTCCGTCTTATCGGACGTATTGGCCGTTTTAAATTCCCCTAAATATTGTAAAAATATTACGTACTTCATATTAAATTCCGAGGCCTAACACTGAATGCAACAAGTGTTGTTTAAAATTCACTATTTGTGTCTTGATACACCTTCATATTTCATGTATGGTGAATGAGCTTAAGGATTTCTAGCTTTTAAAAAACTGTGTTTCATGGAAGTGCTGTGAATATTTAATGAGCCTCTTCGCTTACAAAACCCACTATCGTGTCTGTAGTTTGTTCTGTTATTACAACTAACCTTTATTATGTGTTGCGAGATCCTGGTATTCTTAATCCACTTTATCCTATTCAGCAGTAGAGACTTCTTGTTCTCCTTGTTCTGACTACAAAAGAACGGAAATACAAACAGCTTGGAAAGAGGCATAGAGCACATTAGTTAATCCATAAGTCAGAAACCCGAAGAACGAAGAAAAAAGTTACAGTGGAACCACGGTTCCGGAGAATTTGACGTAAATACGTCTATACGGAAAGGAAGTTTATATATTGGCTTTATTCTAAATATTTCCTTTATACATGCTTTACAATTGAGTTAAGTTTGATTAAGACATTGCTTATTTAACTTGAATTAGTAAGGATTCAGATGGGTCTGTGGTAGCGGAAATATGTTATAAAATTTGTGCACTTTCAACATTTCGTGCAAACACCATATCTATACAAGATTTTGATCTAGTAGTACTACATTGAGGATTTGACATCAACATTAAGCCAAATGTTTCCTCCATAAATGTGACAGAGCTTTGATTTTCCTCTTTCTTTAAGTCAATATTAAAATCTCCTGTCAATATTATCGATATTGTATTAGGATCTTCAGTGGCCGTAACTGAAAACATCTTTGTATAATTTCTCAAATGACTTAAAATAAATCTCTTACAATCATCAATAGGTTTGTGGTTACAATTAAAACTTTTTCACCATTGACCATACACTCTGGAATTCATTATTTAATACTTCTATTTTTCTACGTTT